ACATCTACTTCCTCCCTGAACTGCAGCACAAGGCCTACACCTACATCTCTGACAACTTTGAGGAGGTTATGTCCTGTGAAGAGTTCTTGCAGCTCTCTGTGCAAGAACTCAGTGACATCCTTGGCAGAGATGACCTCAATGTCAGAAAGGAGAGCACTGTGTATGATGCCGTCCTTCGATGGATTGCTCACATACCCAAACAACGAGAACAGCACATCTCAGTGCTTTTGTCTAAGGTATAGTAACTCTCTGTCACTACATTCAGTCTAGCATTTAAATGCTCTCCATTAAGTTAAGTTGACAGACTCTGTCCCGTTGTCCCTATGTAGGTGCGGCTGACCCTGACAAGTGAACAGTACATCAGGAACAATGTCATCTCCCATCCGTTGGTGAAAGACAACAGTGAATGCTTGCAAATAGCTAGCAATTCCATCGCAATCATAGGTCACTTCCTCAGACACAGACGCTCGCTAGTTGGGGTCTGTAACCAACTTGTGCGTCACCGCCTGCCTAAGGTCATCCTGCTGGCCATTGGAGGATGGAGCGATGATAATTCAACTAATGGCATTGAGGCCTACGACATTCGTGCTAATTGCTGGATCAATGTTGAGAATGGTCTGGGGTGTCCCCGTGCCTATCATGGTGCAGTCTTCCTCAATGGTCACGTCTACTGTGTCGGTGGCTATAATGGAGGAGTGTTTTACAACAACTTGGACAGGTTTGACCTGAGCACACGCACCTGGCATGAGCTGACACCCATGCACCGCCGCCGCTGCAATGTGAGTGTAACCGTGCTGAATGGGTGCATCTATGCCATGGGAGGCAAGGATAGAGATGTCCGACTCAGTAGTGCAGAGCGTTACAGGCCAGAGATCAATCAGTGGAGTCGTATTGCACCCATGAATGAACCGAGGAGCTGCGCCGGCTGCGCCACACTCCACAACAAGGTTAGTGAAGTGAAAAAGCATCTGTGACTAATTCAGAGTAAAAGAGTAGTACTAAGTTGCAGGACTTCAATGCTTATGGTAAAACAAACCAACAAACAAACAAAGAACTAATATATAAAAGTCAAATTTGTGTTCTTTTTACCAGCAACCGTTATGTTTTTCCCCCTAGCACCTGGGTCTGCAAACTTGAGTCCAACCTCAGTCCCCCCTCACCAGGAGGGTGAGGGGGGCTGCCATAACATTGACTAATGGAATAATTGGGCTCTGTCAGACTAAAGGACTTTAGCAACCTGTTTCATATTGTGTGCATGAAAGTGTTTAGAAATGTGTGTGGTAGCTTTAATAGGCCATTTGTGTGAAGATGCTATTAGCAGAAGTGTAAACATAAATATTTCTGTATCATTTTTGTATTATTTTCATGACAGTTGACCAAAACCAAAAAAGTGCTAGCTTACTTACTGCCTCCTTTTCTTTCCAGGTTTACATATGTGGTGGTTGCGATGGCATTGACCGCCTGCAAACAGCTGAATGCTACAACCCAGAGACTGACCAGTGGACGGAGATCGCCCCCATGAGTGTCAGTCGTAGTGGAGTTGGAGTCATTGCATATTCAGACCGTGTTTTTGCTGTAAGTACTGCACATGAAATGCTGACACCCACATACATATCATGCAAACTGTGCGAGTTGTGGAAAGTATTAATAATTAGATTTATGTTCTAAGCACTGCCACAAATGTGCCAACCAACCAACTGTATCGTGGCTAAAAACAGAACTTATCATTAGCTATCAAAGACCCAAAATTAGTCATTCTGTGACTAATATGGAGGAAAGACCAAAAACAAAACTTTTTTTTAAAATATAGAACTTCTGATCCAACATTTGTTCATGAATCCAGCCTTTCTAAAGAGAAACTGGTTCTGCCTCCATTTAAACATGTAACCAATTATTCTATTTCTCTAACAGGTTGGTGGCTTTGATGGCAACACCTGTCTGCAGAGCGCTGAGGCCTACAACCCCCAGACCAATACCTGGCACACAGTGTCCTCTATGTTGACCCCCCGCAGCAATTTTGGCCTTGAAGTGATTGAGGACCGACTGTTTGTTGTCGGGGGCTATGACGGCAACATCCCCACCAATTATGTCGAGTTCTACGATGCTGCACGGGACGAGTGGTCTGAGGCCTGTGACATGGCGATCGACCGCAACGCCCTGAGCTGCTGTGTGGTGTCTGGACTCTCCAACTTGACCAGTTACATTATCCCTCGTGACACCCTGCCACCTCTAACTTTGGAGGATGAGTTAGAGGCCTCCTCCTAATATTGGAGAGAGCTCAGCACAGTCTTGCACAGTCTTTGCAATAGAATAATGAAATACATTTCTTTGAACATGAAACTTCTGTCATTCTAGTGACTTCTATATGATTTGAGTCTATGTGAGTAAGTTTTGTGTTTTATGAGCAGGGTGCTGTCCCCAGTTTGCAGACACAGGTTTCAATTCACAGTGTACCACTGTAACAATAACACGTTTATAGCATAAAATGTCCCAGAAACCCCCTGTGCCCAGTTGCATGATTGTCCATAGTTAATAATCATACTTTTAATAAGAAAAAATTCTAAACAGTGGTGGAAAGAAACTAAGCACTAATTAGTTTAGTAGTAGTAATTTAGTAATAGAGTTGTAATTTACTCAAGTGTTGTACTTAAGCTGATTCATAGTGAACACAGAGAAAATGCCCCCACGTACATATACTAGTCTGCACAATGAAGCTCAAAGTAAAGTTACAATGATAAAAAGTGGGGAGGAATTTAATAAAAAGAAAAAATGTTCAGGTCAGATAAGTTGGGAATCACTGAATATACACACAGCAGGAATAAAAGAGATAGAGAGATGTAGAGCACAGTAATCCAACCAGAACGGATATGGTCATGGACAGACACCGATAGAAATTTACAACACCTAGAGAGTGATATATATAAAGTGTAAACAAGCAACAGATTGCCTTACCGCACACACACGGCTACGTGCCAATCCCCCGGAGGCATCCCCGTTGCCCCTGGCAGCCAGTGCTGGTAATGGTATTGCACTGGCTCAAAAAGGAGTGAGGCTTGGTGGTCACCACAGGACAAAACGTACATGCAAGTGAGCTGAATGTGGCAGAACTGGGCTGCAAAGGTGAGAAATTAATGTGCACATTTTCATCAGAGATATATAATGAGATGCATTACAACACTTAAATGACCCCAGCAACAAGAGTGATGGCTGAACTGTACGTCTCTGCAATTTGGGGGAAAAAATTACATCTGATCACAAGGTCCAGTATAAATATATTTAATGGTTAGTTATCCTTGAGAGTTTGACATTTTTATTTGTCACACACCTATTTGCTGCTTCAGAAGCTTTCCCAATCTAATCTTTCTTTTAATCACAATAAGTCCATCAAACTAGACAATAAAAGAATGGATGTCATAAAATCCACAACTATAATCTATATTTTTATAATAATGTATCAAATGGCAATGTCAAAACTATATGACAATATAAAAAGGAATTACTTGTAGTGAAGAAACTACACAGACGTATCGCCTGAATCTACGGCTCCCCTCTACTTTAGAGAGCTTTATCAGGACATTTCGGCTCAACCGGCCTCTGGCCCAATGGCAGCTGGGATTGGCTGCAGCTCCTCTGAGACCCTCAAGGATAAGTGTGTATAGCTAATGGATGAATAGATGGGTTCACTGTTGTCATGGTGTTTTCAGCCACAGCAGGCAGCTGTTTTAGGAAATACAGAGTTCCTAAAAACCACTGTGCTTTACCTGTTCACACCACAAAGCAAGCAGATACACTTGTCCACTAGCTGGTGAACATAGTGAAGCATTTAGCAGTTCAATAGTCAGACATCTCCTTCAGGATTTCACAGAGATCAAAAACAGAGTTAAAAGAGAGTGAACACTGGACCCACATTTGCCAGGTTGACTGTTGTAATGAACGCTAATGTCGCCCCATAACTGCTGGATGTGTGGATAAACAAAGGATTGTGAACAAGCTCAACAAAGGTGATGATGATGGTTGTGTTCAAGATTAGTCAAATCAAATTTAACTTCATGCACAAAGTGTCAGACTCACTGTAAAACAAATCTCCGGCTCATGTCTAGGGAGGGTGACAATACTTTTATTGTGTTTATTATGTCATGCTGTGGTGCCTTTTTGGCTCACTTTAATAAGTACATCTCCCAGTGGTCCAGAAGGATTATAACACCAAAAGCAGATCACTTAGTTTCCCTTCACTGGCTGTATGTCACATTTAGAATTAAGGCAAAATAATTAAAAGGTTATTGTGCCCCGTCATCTCTGGGAAAGATGTCAGAGCAGGGTCTTCTGCCAAAGGACAAATCAGTGCACATTATTAGAAAGCATCTCAAATCCCAATTGTTTTCTTTGTTTTATGATTGAATGGCTTGCGAAAATATCTTTGAGCTTTGTCTGTCTCTTCCGTCTTCTATTTATCTTTACCTCTATAACTTTAGTGTATTCTAATAGTGTTTCTTATGGTCTGTTTACACCATAGACTAAAAAGATGAGTACTGCGTTAGGAGCACACTAAATATGGGCTTTAAAGACACTGAATATTACCATGAAATATTTGCTGTCAGCAACATGGAAAAAAAGTAACAGCCTTGAAAAACCTGCACTGGTTGAATCCTTGGGCAAACACATACACACCTATCATCTAACCTCACACTCCCAGAGACACAGACACACACTTCCATCCTGTGTTCATTCACCCATGTAACTTTATGGACACTTTCCTGTCCATAAACCTGGGAGACGGAATGGAGAAGACAAGGAATGACATGCAGAGAATTGGCCCAGTAAAACACTGCACCTTAATCTCTTGCTTCCAGCTCAAATCCTCTCTGTTATTAAACACCCTCTTTCCCCTCCTGCTGGCATTTTATTAACTGTATTCGCTCAATGAAATCTTGAATCCTCTGCCGCTTTGTCCATGACATTAGGAAACAAGACGAAAACAAAAGAGAAAGAAAGAATGACCAATGTCGTGAAAGTGGTGATCATAACAACTCCATCCCCCAAATGGTGTGTTTCTACTCTGTGGAGCACAATAAAGCACATTGCCTATAAGCAGTGTTGGAAGCCAGGCAGCTGAATGGGAGAGGAAGACGGATGGAGACAGAAGGAGACAAACAAAGATCAGAGGAGTAGAAACTAAAATTCCTCTGTCTCTGTGCTGCTAACTGTACCTTTGTATTTCATCATGCATTTTCACAGACTCAAGAAAATGTAGGACAGACAAAAACAAGTTTGAATATAAGGAGAGCTGGGGTTGTTACAGAAGGCTCAGTTACAGCAGCTAGAAGTAGTATGGCACGCTTGAAAACAAAGGTAATCCGACTGCCCTTCCATTGGGAATGGAAACCTTGCCTTCAAAACAATGTTAATCAAGCAACCATGCCTCAGTTCAGTTTCTATCAGTATTTGTTGTAACAAGACATTTTTAATATTTCATGTTTGTTTTCCACCTTCTACACAAGTCCATACAGATGTAGTTATCCTTGGTCAAAGTGATGATTTACAATACTCAAGGGCTTCTTTTATCGACTGTGCAGAGGCAGTTTTGTGCTTAAACAATGCATACACTTGATTCATCAGTTTGTCTTGCGCTTGAGAATGAGAGCACATTCCGAACCACTAGTGACCATACACACCAACACAACCAAAGTGCACTTAAGGGAAAACCAATTCTTATACTACAAACCAACTGTACTGCATACAGCATACATACGGTGAGTGAATGTATTATTGTAAATGTAAATCACCATTCCAGAAGGTTTGTTTTCATAACAATGCAACAGTTTTCTTTTTATGTGAAATTTTGGCATTAATGCATGCCTTTTTTTTTTGTTCCTCCACTGCATCACTGAGCACCTGTAATTTGCTATAGACGATAGAGGATATATTAAAGCAAGACTATGTGTGTTATGGTTTAGTCCCCCTCACAAGGAGGGTGAGGGAGAACTGAAGTAGGACTCAAGTCTGCAGACCCAGGTGCTAGTGAAAAAAGGTGGTTTATTGGAGGCAACACAAACAAAGTCAACACGCAACAGAGTCAATGTATAGTACCGAACCAGGGTTGGGCAGAGATGGCTGAAGAGACCAGGACAAACAGGTGAGTAGACAGGCTAACGGCAGGAACCAGGAGAGTAGGAGGATGAGGACGGACAGGTGAAAAATAAGAGTGGCGAACGTACCGACATCAATAGCACAGGGAAACTGTCAGCTAGACACATGCATACAACGTACTGAAAAACAATCAATGGCACAGTTACTGTCAGCCTTGAAAGTCCAATCTAGTCACGCGTAAAAGCATTTGCATCTAACATGCAACCAATGACATATTAGTCATAGTTTGGTAGATGCTTATAATGCTCCGGCGAAGACGGATCATCTGCCAGAGGTTTAAATAAAGGAGCAGGTAATCACAGGAATGCACCGCAGCTGTGCGCACCAACAAATGAGTCACTCATTACCAAATGCAACACAGCTGAGGTGCCGATCCCGCAGGAAGAGAGAGCAGGAGAAAGCAAGGTAGAAGAAAGGCAGGCCCTGACAACGTGTGGTAACTGTTGCTGAAAGGTTTAGCCAAAAATAACAATTATAGAATAATAACATTTTGTAAATGTAGCACAAGTGATGAAGAGTCACAAAATCTGTGATCTCACTTATGTTACAGCAGTACTTATTTAGTTTGCTAACTTTAGCTATTAGCAATTAAAGCTGCAGCAGCAAAACTCCTGTGTATTAAATCAAGCAACAATGTGATTTATTGCTAATATTATTTCTTCTTGTAAAAGTTAAATACTTAAGGCACATAAATAATAACCATTTATGAACCTAAATGTATATAATGTATTTCATTTTAATCTTTCGATGTTGCTGCAATTGTCCAGAAACAGCAACTGGACACAAGTGATGTGGCAGAAAAAGTGAGACTTCTTAATGTTCACTGTGTGAAGGTGAGTACCAAATATTTTATTGCTCATACAGGCATTTCTCACACAAGTATTTAAACCTTACATCTAGGAGTTTTCTGCAAATCAACAGCATTCCATTGACAGCTACAGATGGTAAATGTCAACTCAAGAAAAGCAAGATGAAATCTGTTTATTCAAAAGAAGTAAGTTTTATCTTAATGTAAATGCAATAGAGAGCATCTGTAATTGTGATTCAAAAAATATCCAATCTAATCTCTTTCTAAGTCCTACCTTTTCTCTCTCTAACCCTCATCTGGCCTCAGTCTGTGCTTCTTAATTCATTTTCAACCTGTCTGTCAATCGCTCACTTATTCTGTGCCAGTGCCTTTCTTCTGCCCTGTTGCAACAGTCTGCCAGAGATTTCCATCATTTTTTTTTTTTAGCGCCTGCATATAAATCTGATGCTCTCCCACCTCCCTTCCCGAGGTGCTAGAAATGGAGAGAAAGAGGCAAAGGCATGATTGCGATGTCAATTCATAAACAGTATATCCTGAGAGACTGCAGGGATGAAAGCACCAATGCCACTAGAAAATTATCCTCCCAGGCAGGGACAAGTCATTTGCTACACAGTGGATCGTCACAACAAAACATTTGGAAGCTGAAATGGACACACAAAAGGAAAAAGATACAAACCTGAGGTAGGTAAAGCTGCAATTGTCCAGAAACAGCAACTGGACACAAGGGATGTGGCATGAACCTGTACATGCAGAAAAAGTGAGACTTCTTAATGTTCACTGTGTGAAGGTGAGAGTACCAAATATTTTATTGCTCATACAGGCATTTCTCACACAAGTATTTAAACCTTACATTTAGGGGGAGGCAACTTACAGTAGAGGTGAAGAAGTGAGTGTCTGCATGCAAGTGTGTCTGAATGTTTGCACCCCTCTACAGGTGTTCATGCCCTCTTGGCTGTAGACAGGAGAGGAGAACTGTCACTATTCAGACAGAAGTAGACAGACTCACCAGGACTGAGAAACACTCAGAGGGCAGAGAAAGGCAGGGACGGGTGCCTCGCTTGTGCATACACAAACACACATACACACAGCCAGCCATTTCATATGTTCTTGAGCAACAGGTGGCCAAACACTCGAGTGCCTGCAAATACCACCTGGGAAATGCCACACAGCTAGATATAATCTATCTGCTTGGGGACCCAAGGCGTAGCATAAAAGTAGAGGACTCTTTGATATTTAAATAGTGCATGTGTGTCTCTGTTTGAGTGACAGCAGAAGAGAAGCCTAGAGAGAAAGAGAGAGGCTGCAGCTATGTCTATTCTAGCCACATAACAATGTGATGTCAAGATGTAGTGAAGGATTAGACCAGACCAAGGTTTATGAGACAGAAATGGATCGATTCAAATCCACCGAGTTTATTCTAGCATGACTCATGAGAAACTGAGACCACATGGTGATGGAAAAAAAGCTTGCACAGGTCAGAAAATAATGAGGTTTGAGATCATTATTAGCATTGTCTCTCTCTGTTTTCTCATGTTTTACACATAGTCAGATGGGGCATATTCAGCAAGTGGCTTGGAATTTTTAGTGAAAGCTGCTTAAAGTTACTGGTAAAACTAACAAATTCATGTCAGTCATAAATCTTACAATGGATGTCTACAATGTAAATCTTCACATGGAATACAGGCATAATCAGAAGAGTAGCAGCCGCAAAAGTATTCAGACAGCCTATTCCTTTTTACTTCTAGTCTAGGACTATAATTCATGATCTGAGCTAGGCCCTTTTGCTTTCAAACTTCGTGTCCATAATTTGGGTGAAGCCGGGCCTGCTTCAACTCAATAGAGCTTTCCTAAATTTGGTATGGAAAGAGGCTGTCAAGCATCAACCTTGAAAGAATTCAAACTAACATATCATTTGATCGAATCCATTCAAACACTACCTGAGTAGCTTAATCCTGAATTATACAGCAGAATGTTTTGTTAATTTACAGATTACGAATTATTGAGCTTCCTCAGATTACCTTTCAGATGGGTTTGTGCATAGACTGTGTATAAAGATGGATGACGTGACAGCATGAAGTGGGCCAGACTGAGAATTTTAAATTCAAACTAATGATACCAGATCAAATGTAATCTATCACTTTTCCCCCCGCACTTTTAAATGGCTTAACCTTTTCATCACAAATGGCAGCCTTTCTATGGAAGAATCCTGGCCTCAACCATAACCAATAACCTTGGAATTAAAAAGGAAATCAGCTAGTCAGTTACTGTTGAAAGCCCTTTCAGAAGAATGTCAACTGCTTTAGTATAATGCTGTGGTTTTAGAATGAGGTGCGCAACAATCACATTTTGGTGGATGTCCACATACTGTAGATTTGGGCATGTAGGATATTTGGCATTATGATATTTTAATGATTTTTTTAAAAATCACAAACCTAAAAGGTTTCTAAGATCTCTAAGTACCAGTCAGTTGGCAGTTCCCAGGGTCAGAACTAAACAGGGTGAAGCAGCCTTTAGTCATTATGCAGCACAAAGATGGAACCAGCTTCCGGAGGAAGTCAAATCTACAGACACTGTGGCAGTCTTTAAATTAAAACTGAAAACATGACTCTTTGCACATGCCTTTGAATGATTGTTTTGCTGTTTTTAGTGCTTAATGTTATTTTTAACTTACTGAATGGTATTTCTTTTCTTTTCTGCCTGTCCTGTATGTAAAGCACCAGTTGCCATTAGGCTGGAAATGGGTGCTATACCTGTACAAATAAAGCCAAGTTGATTTGAGCTGAATTAGCCTTTATATTACATTTTATAATTTCAATTATCAGATATTTAATTAGCATAGATGCAGCTAAAGAATAACACTCTGCTCTCCCTCAACCACCATAGTATCCTTGAGCAAGGCAGCTCATCCTGAACCATTCCATGGTGCTTCACAGCAAACACCAAGACCAATAGGGTCAAACAAACCGTGGCTTCAGCTTTAATAATATTAACCAGGGTGACGAATGGCAAAATAATGAAATTCTGTTCTCTTAATAAACAAAAGCGAAAAAAATACTATAGTATATTATATGTACAGAAACACCAAGAGACTAGATCAAGCTGAGATTTCAAATGAAGACATCAAGTGTGTCCCAGCACATCCTCGTCATATTATTTTAATGTAATCCTTTTAATTATTTAAGGCTCTGTGTGTAGTAATTTGTGCTGCTCTAAGTTAAGATCACTTTTTTTTTCTAAGCACAAGCTCCCTGTTGTAAAGATGATGTTAAAATATGTCCCCACTTCATGGTGGGCATCCCAGTGTTTACTTTCTCTTTGTCCTTACTCAAGAGGACAAACATGCTGGAAGTGATTC